AGTGCTGCCCCCCAGGCGCCCACAGCAGGCCCGGTCCTCGGCTGTGATGTGAACTTCCGCTCAGCACCCTTTCTTTCTATCACCCCGAACGCAAGCGCCTGCGCTCACATGGAGGCTACTCCCAGCAGGAAAGGCAGAACTGACCAGGCTGCTTTGGAGATTTGCAATCTGATGTTCAGGACACGCAATGCCATTTCAAGTCAGTCACCTCTGCCCGTCTCAGTGCATCGAGTCCCACGGTGCTGACTGGCCTGAACTAGAACCGCTGGCACCCCCCCTCCCCTCTGCAGCTAATCCCGGCCCTCAGAGACACGCTGGACCAGAATGGGTTCTGGTTCCACCAAGATGCTCCCCAGCTCTGAATGACAGTAGCACAGAGACCACCAGGAAATACAACATTCCTCTAGAAATCCCGTCATCCATGGAGAAGTGCCTGTGTGTAAGTGTGCTGATATACTGAGAACACGAGGTAAATGGTTTCAGGGTGTTAGTTAACATGTTTCATCCTGACAGGTATGTCTGTGGCTGAATTTCACGCGTGACAGTGGCTGTAAGGCAACCCAGTATCTTGGGTCCCTTCCGTGCACATGCCTGAGAGCTGGTATTGGGGTGCAGGTTGGCCTGTGGCTTGAACTAGACTCACCTCATCTCTGCTAATAAGTTCGTTGGAGAAGGTGAGGCCAGGCATCAGGCCTCGCTTCTTGAGCCAGAAGATCGACGCGAAAGAGCCCGAGAAGAAGATTCCCTCCACTGCGGCGAACGCCACCACGCGTTCTCCTGTGTGAGCGTGAACACCAAACGTTCCCCGTGAGCGCGTGTTCCTGTGCGCAGGAAGGGCCAAAGGCGAGGGCCGAGGGCCGCGGTCCCCTTACCGTAGGTGGCCTCCTTGTCCCCGATCCAGCGCAAGGCCCAGTCTGCCTTCTTCTTGACGCAAGGCATCGTCTCGATGGCGTTGAACAGGAACTCCCTGGAGGCACACAGAGGTCAGCGGTCCCAGCCGAGACCTGGCCACATGCTTCCAGGCCCGAGCACCAGGACCCGAGGCCAAACTGGGGCTCAAACGGACGCTTTTACGGATTGGCTTTTCCCTTCACTGTGCTTTTTAAAACCCATATTAATGTGACTTGGTTTATGCTCATATAAATGTAGGTATTGATTTCTTTGTATGGATCCCCCAAGATCTACTCACACTAAAACTCTTAGTCCATTGACCAAGGGCATTTACTGGCTCAAGTCCTACTTGGAACGTGAACCCTCCTGTCCAGGGGTCCAGGCTGCACACACCACCCACAGCCCATCAGTCACATAGGCCCATTGGTCATTTGGGCGTCTGTTGTCAGAAACAGACCACGTTCACGTGACTTTGATCACAGCGTATTGTTACAACAGTTCTACTCATTAGCTACTGTTGTCACTCTCTCCCTGTGCCTAATTTATAGGTTGTATTTTATCATAGGCGTGCAATATAGAGGAAAAACAGTATGTATAGGGTTCAGTACTGTCCAGTTTCTTGGAACGTGTCCCTGTGGATGGGAGTTAGGGGGCTGAGGGTGGGCTACTGTATCATGTAATTCCTCACTTGTACTTCTAGGTCTTATTTTCTGTATCTGACTAGAGGCCCAGTGCATGAATTCGTGCACAGGTGGGATCCCTTGGCCTGGCCGGCGATTGGGGTCGATTGGGGTCGATCGGGGCCGTCTTGTCCAGTCCCCATGGGGGCTGGCCGGCTGGGGAGGGACCAGGGGAGGGCTCTCAGGTGTGTCTGGCCCTCTGGCCCAGTCCCAGTCAGCTGGACCCCAGCAGCAACCTAACCTGCCAGAGTGTCTGCCCCCTGGTGGTCAGTGCACGTCATAGCAACTGGTGGAGCACTTAGCATATTACGTTTTTATGGTATAGGATTACTAGCTCTTGTTAATCCTCACCCGAGGATATTTTTTTCCATTGATTTTTAGAGTGGAAGGGAGGGGGAGAGACAGAGAGACACACTGATGTGAGAGACACAATCGATTGGCTGCCTCCCCCCAGGGGATCAAACCCGAAACCAAGGTATGTGCCCTTGGCCAGAATCAAACCCTTGATGGTAGTGGGGCAGATTACTCGTTAAGACAAGCTGCTTTCTACTTTGTACCCGCCCCCCCCCGCCCTCTCCACCCTGCCCCGCCTCACATTGTAGGTAAGATTTAGGTTTTACTTCATCACACGGAGCCTAAAAGCATTCGATTAGATGACTATGGCATCCTCCCACCCTAAACGTGGAGCAGCCTCCTAGCTTTGCTCTTAAGTGATTGGCTAATCAAGTGAATGCAGGCTTTCTCCTCCAAGCAGACGCCCTCCAGGAACCTCTGTGACTTAGGTGAGTCATTTTTCTGCCCCCACGGGAACGAATGCAGAACTTGAAATAAACGGCGTGTGAACCCTCACCATGCTGGCTGCCACCGGAAGCTCACCTTTCCTTGGGGTCCTTGATGTAGGTGTCAATGAGGAGGCTGTACATCTCCGAGTGGATGTTCTCCATGGCGATCTGGAAGCCGTAGAAACAGCGGGCCTCCGTGATCTGAACTTCTTGGCTAAACCGCTCCACCTAGTGGCGGACACAGGAAATGCAGCGTGAAGAACTACCGGCCAGTTTGGTCGGACAATGGACACGGACAATGGACACGGGACTGCACCAGCTGCCTTTCCTGTGCCATTTTAAGGTCTGTTTCTCTAGGTCAGTGATGGCGAACCTGTGACATGCGAACTCATTTTTTTGGTTGATTTTGCTTTATTAAATGGCATTTAAATATATAAAATAAATATCAAAAATATAAGTCTTTGTTTTCCTGTGGTTGCAAAGATCAAAAAATTTCTATATGTGACACGGCACCAGAGTTAAGTTAGGGTTTTTCAAAATGCTGACACGCCGAGCTCAAAAGGTTCGCCATCACTGCTCTATGTAGTTCTTCGCTGTCCTGTGACAAAGCTGGGCATGTCATGCCACCTGTCTGGCCAGCAGACAGAGGACCCCTGTTTGTCTGTAAACACCTGGCGAGAACCTGTTACGACCTGACATTGTCTGAGCTTCTCCCGCCAGAAGTGGCTGCAAAGTGTGTGATGAGTCAGGAGACGCTGCGTAAACCTAGCTGACAGACAGCTAGCCATTCGGAATGGGGAGACTTAGGAGACAGGGAAAGAGAATGTATTCTCCCTCGTCTCGGAGGGGGTGCAAGCAGACTTTGGGGGGCGGGCCACTCACCAGGTTCTCATTGACGATGCCATCGCTCGCCGCAAAGAAGGCCAGGACGTGCGAAATGAAGTACCTCTCGTCCGACTTCAGGGCTTCCCAGTGCTGCAGGTCCTTAGAGAGGTCCACCTGGTGCCGGAGGTCACAGGGGGTCAAGCACGCAGGGCCTCCCGCGCCCCAACAATTCTCCACCTTCCTGCCGCCCTCGGGCCATAGACCCCCTGGGTGGGGGTCCCTTGCCACTTAGAACATGGACCCGCCTGGGCCTGGGTGGGCAGCCATCCCCAAGGGCAGTGAGGGCAAACCTATGACATACGTGTCAGAGGTGACACACGAACTCATTTTTTTGGTTTTTCTTTGTTAAATGGCATTTACATATATAAAATAAATATCAAAAATATAAATCTTTGTTTTACTATGCTTGCGAATATAAAAAAATTTCTATATGTGACACGGCACCAGAGTTAAGTTAGGGTTTTTCAAAATGCTGACACGCCGAGCTCAAAAGGTTCGCCGTCACTGCCCAAGGGGAAGAGCCAAGTACGTCCCCCACAGGCTGCCGCCGCCAATGCCGGGTCTTTGTCTAGAGTTGGGGGCGCCCCAGGGCTCTGGGCCCCATTACCTCCTCGGCGGTCCAAAAGGAGGCCTCGGCCTTCTTGTACATCTGCCAGATGTCGTGGTACTCGATGGGGAAGACCACGAAGCGGCGGGGGTTTTCTCGCAGCAGCGGCTCCTCCTGCGCGCCCGGGGCGGGGACCTGCGTTTTCTGTCGGGGGCGATGGGAAGGATGATGATGGCCCAGGATGCGGCGAACCACATGAAATTGCCGTCTTCCCCGCCCGGGGCCGGTCCAAACCCGGCAACTTCATGTGGTTCGCTCGCTGTGTCGGGGTCAGGGGTCCCCACAGGTCCCCTCCCTGAGCCCCGCAGGAACCGGAGCGAGGACGGTTGCTCACTTAGGCGGGAAAGGAAGCGCGGGAACAAGCAGGAAGAGTGGGCGGCCTTAACGCCAAGAGCCCAGGCGCCGCCTACCGCCCACCCGCGCACCCAGG